TGTACTTTGACAAGGATTCCAAAACTGAATTTGACCCAGAAACAGGTCTCAAAAAACAGAACTTATGTCTTTACAGATTATGAGCAAAGTATATAAGACAGCTACCCTCATTAAACTTTCCTGATTATTTTTGGAAATCTTTTACACCAAAAATTCCATCTTATATATAGGACTTCAGGGATTTCATAAAAATATTATGTTCTGGAGTTTGTTGTAGTGGCTGAATATGGTATTTTGATAAGAACAGACGGCAGATCTTTATAATACCACCAGGATGAGGCTCTATTCATTATAAGGGAAATTTTGGGAAAGGGAACAGTTAAACATCCACCCACATTTTTTTCTATATTCTTTAACAGAGCTGATATTACAAAAGGATTATTTAAAATCTGACAACAAACTTTATTAGAAGATTAAGGGAGTGGTCACAGGATATGCTAATTCACTACCAGCAGTAAATCTCTATATGTAGTCCTTTGAGAAAATTGAGATTGTACCAACAATCTTTTTCAATTCTTCTCACATACTAGCTTAGATTTATACACAATATCTCTGCAATATGGAACTGCAGTGAACAAAGCTCAGATGTTTTTCTTCAGGTGAATAAACTATATGCCTGAAATCTTCCAGTAAGCTGCAGCTAGAGTAGGCCCACTGAATCACATTCCCACTTAATTCAACAAACTTATTATAATTGCAACTTACTACTAGTTTCCAGCCTATAAATATCCAGCTTGACACCTTACTATCGCCAAAAACAATACTCTTTTTAGACATAATGTTAAAAAAAGGATGCAGATTGCACACAACTTTACAGAAAACTATCAGACTGCAATACATACCTTAGACTCAATAGCTCTCCTCCCAGATCACAGAGTGTAATTTTCCCTAGGGTAAGTCTCATGGAATACGATGAAGTCCACAGAGGAGGACTATTTCTGGCAAGAATCAAGGTTACTTAAAGAACCAGTTAAGAGATAAGAGCTATCCCAAGCATGCAACACCAAACAGCTTTGCCAAGGTCAGTCATTCTGCAGATACCAATCCCTTTCAAAAAGTTATAGAAAACCTGAAAATCGAGTCAGCTGTGTTTTGGCATTTGGTCATATAACCAATATTAGCATATTCTGAGAAATATACAGTATATGGGCGTCAAGAGGGACTATTAGTTTTCTTCAAAACAAGACAAATGTTGGGAATATTTTATTAAAATATTGGGGATATTTTACTAAGTCATCTAGGAAGGGCAACAGAGACATCTCAAAATTCTAGCAGGAGCAAAACCTCCATACAGTTATCATCGGTGGGGACACTGAGTTTATTTCCAATATACTTGTACAAAGACTGAATTTGTACATTACAACAATAGCAAACTGGGTATTTTCAGAAAATGTACCACCTTCAGCACCTGTTGTACAGGATATGCCATCCGATGCCTCTGCCCGCAATAAACTCTATATAGGGAAAACATCTAGGAATCCTGAAATGTGTATAGGATTCCTAAATGATTCCTAAGAGTGATGCTGGTGAAGGAAGCAAGGATAGTTACATTCATACTAATGTTTTCATCCAGCATTGCAAGTTGGAGAACCAGTGTCATGACCACTGCCAGCAGCACTAAAACCAGGACCGTCCACTACAGACCCAGCTCCATAGCCCTCAACAAGTGAGTCACACAGCACAGTCCATCTGCACTCAGGTGTCCACATGACTGAGGGTGTGATGCACATGTGCTTGGAGTTCAGCTGCTCCAGTGCTGAGAACTACTACATTTACGGTACTGTAGGAGCCACTGCCAGCCGCTAAGGCTTGGATGGGAAGGGGCTCATGCCACCTGCCTCCAGGGATAGGTGTCCACTTGTATTTAGCATCCCTGTCCCGGCACTCCCTATCTGGTTCACCTACAAGAGATGCCGGACTTGGCGGAGGAACAAGGTCTCCGTTCTGCCACTAAGACTTGGTTCAAGGGAAGAAAAAAAAACAGTAATGAATTAAACTCCCTGGTGCCCCAAATGTTCTGTTCAGGCCTGTAGGCCTTTACAGTTGGACATTTGTTTAAATAAAAGGTCTCAGTTCTGTAGCAACCTATTGCATTGTCATAGAGAGGGACCAGGGAACTGCTCACATTTCCTTATCATGAAAACCCTATACTTCAGTGGAGCTGGAAACCAAACTGCAAGTCTGTGCATTTCTCCCTTCATATGAATAGGTCAGTGATGGCAAACCTATGGCATGCGTGCCACAGCTGGCATGAAGGGTCCTCTCTGTGGGCATGTGAGCCACAAATTGCCATTTGATAAATACCCATCCTCCAATTCCGGATTTTGGCACTCCCCTCTGCTGGTCCACTGGAGGGGTGCAATGGTGGCCAATACTGGTCTAGCTTGGGGGATTGGAGGACTGGTAAGTATTTCTCTGTTAATACTGCCCATAGAAGAAGAAAAACAAGCAATTAACTCTTCCAGTGCTGGGGCAGTTGTTTTTTTTCTAAACTAAAACCTTAGTATCCAAGTTTAATTGCAGTGTTGGCACTCTGAAATAAATAAGTTTGTTTTGTGTTGAACTTTGGGCACTCGAGCTCAAAAAGGTTCAATATCACTGGAATAGGTAAACTAATCATACAGAGGTCTTAAGTGTGACACTCAAACCTGGAGTGAAAACTTCCACACAAGCTTGATAACAAACCAGGTTTAAATCAGTCTACATCATTGTTTTATGTATCTCAAGTTGTTTGGAAAAAATTAAATAGTGCATCAACCCAAGTAGAGATGGGATGGATCACATGGTGTGGAGCCATTGGTAGAATCGTACCATCCGCATCCACGGTGGATGGGTGAGTGGACTGTCTGGCCCTATGGGGCTGGACCCTCATTAATACCACCTGTGCGGGGATATTCGTATACGAACACCTCATCTCTAATCCCAAGCTAGAAGGTCACACTAACCTCTCTCTCTCTTTTACTGGTTTGTATGAAAAAAGAAACAAAAGCAAACAGCCTGAGCACAACACATCACTCATTCACACAGCTGCTTAATAACCAGGATTCCTGGCTTAAACTGATGTGCAAACATGAACATTACGCCATGCATCATATCAGCTACTGAAGTTTTCTATTAGACATAGGAACTAGCACATTCATACAGACACAAGGTCCCAGGAGAAATCCACACTACTGCAGTGGAAGACAGGAGGGCCTGGCATGCTCTGGTCCATGGGGTCACTAAGAGTCGGACATGACTAAACAAACAAACTGCATCAGGATCATTTACTGACTTTGGATGGAAAGAACTCCTATATTATTCCCTCCCAATAAGTGAGATCCACAATGCAATGCAGCTTCAACCTATGAACAGATAACAAGCAATTATTCTTCTGTGGAAAGAACAGAGATGTAACATTTCCAAAAGTTTCAACTTTTTTCAGAAAAAAAGAGGGGGGAAAACCTTTTTTTCTGGGGGGAAATTTGAATTTTTTGGAAATTTTATATCTCTAAAGAACACCAGAGTTCATATAATAAGAAAATATAAAATTAAAACACTTCTAAGAGTGTTTTTATTTCTGGAAAAAATGGAAACTTTCAGTAATTTTACATTTCTAGGAAAGAAATTGCCCATCTATAGAAAATTTATTAACTTTCACAATAGGATCTAATGAGAAGTAACTCCCAGTTCTTTCAATATGCTTTTTTTTTACATAAGTATTATATCTAGGCTTTCCCCATTAAAAACCATGTCAATGTCCTTACAGATATACAAAGGAAATAAAACAGAAATCTATCTATAATTTTAGTGATAAATTCTGCTTATATAAAAGCTCTAGCTGCCATATCTTGCCTTTTGTGACAACGTTTAGTATCAATTCTGGTTCAAGAAAGAAGCTATCCTGAAAATGGGAAAGACACTCCTCTTCAAATTGGTCCTCCAAAATAGCTCCTCCAATACTTCTCAGGCCCTTATATTTACCTAGCTCTCTTATCATGGCAGTACCAAACTGTTGCCAGTCATCATAAATAGGGTGGCAGTTTGCCTGGCAGGCTTATAGCAGCTATGAAGTTGTTTTTGGTTCCTAACATCACTCAGATAATTCTTTTTCTAGCTGACTTGTTGTACAGAATCACCTTTATATATGCAGTAGCTGAGTGCCACTTCAAGTATAAACTCCCAATGTGAAGATGCTGAGAAGGGTCATACAGAAAATTTACTCCTCAAATGCAGAAGGTCAAGTAAATGTTTATTGGCTAGATTCAAATGCTAACTTTAAAATTAAGAGTTCAGGGAAGAGCAACAACCTATCTAATAGTAAAAGTTTGACCACAGTGTTAGGGGTTATTTATATATTTTTTCAATTTATATGCCATCCCATTAATGCAATTTCTACCATGGGTAGTTTACATAAAGTTAACACTCACACAATCCTCAAAACACCAAACTATTAAACAATAGATTTCAAAACAATACAGCGATATAGCAGACAATAATTAGAATTAAAACATTTTTAAACCAGTTATTAAAGGCTGCTTTAAATAACACAGTCTTTACTATCTTTCTAAAAGCAAAGAGGGAAGGAGCCTGGATCTCTGTCAACATTTTATTCCAGTAACTAGGGGCCACCATTGAAAAGGCATGATTCCTCTATTCCTTGTTTTCATCTTTTTGGCAGTAACATTTACCATGGATTGAGAGGAGCAGTAGGACCAATAGCTGATTTCTGGAAACCCTGTTGATCCAAACTGCAGGCAAACTCTTCAGTCTGTCTTAAGGCATTCATAACCAACGCTGACAATTTCTATAAAAGGGTCACCCTCTCAGGATTGGCACTTTCATTAAAGCAACAATGGGCAGTAAGTTCACATGAGAACAGAAATATTTGCAAAATGACGTCACTGTCTGAAATAATTAAACTAAATCGATTTTTCAGTTCAACTGCCTCCCAAAAGTAAAATTTACAAACAATATTCCAAGGTAATGCGCGAACCCACTGCTTTTGATATCATCATTACCTATCTATCCTTGTTCTGGAACCTTAAGGCGCACACCACCTTCCACGAAAGTGAAAAACTCTCCGCACCCAAGAACCCGCAAATCTTTGGGTGCTCCCGTAACAGAACGATCATCAATCAGCAAACGGCAACATACACCATGACGGGTTTAACGATATCATGGGATTTAAAGCTCTGGAAACGCCAGATCGGCAGCGAAGCCTTCCTAGGTACAGATCCCTGGCGTGGCTGAGAGAAACGACGGAAATCCCTCTGGGTCGCAGGGGATGGAAACTGCGTGTAAAGGAATGTGTAAAATCAGCTCCTTTCCCCGGGCACAGTCTGTGAGCCTGACAAGGGAGACTCCCCCCTGCACAAGGGAGAGACAGCGGAGCCCCAAAGCGTCAACTACACGCGAGAGAAATTCCCACTTACAAAGAGGACCTCATTATGAATTAGTTTCACGAGAACAGCACAGACTCCACAAGGTTTCATTAGGATTAGTACATAGCAATCTTATTTGAGATGATGAACAAGACTACTAGGAATCAGTAAGTACTTTGCGGCAAGGGTCTTATAGAGAGAAAGCGGGACGCCTCCTGGATCCACGACTCTTCGCCCACCCCGGAAAACTCAGCATGTAGGCGCTAGGTGGCCTCGCGGCCCGCCATTGGCTAGCCCGCGCGTCAATCATATACAACTGGGTCAATTTCCCCCCCCTCCACAAGCAATCGCGGCTTTCCCGTTGGTTAAGACGGGTGCTATTCCACACTCTGGCCCTTAGCGTTCTAATGCTCTTTTCTGCCTCAACCCTTCGACCCGCCAAGCTGTCACTCACACGCCATAGCCACGCCCAAGACATAAGCCACGCCCCACTTCCAACGGTTCTGCACGGCTCAGGCAAGCTCCCAATCACACCGAGACCACGCCCCCTCGCTCGGAATCACTGGCTGTCGGTAGCGCGCCACCCGCCAAGGCGGTTTCCGTGATCGCTCACCTGGGAAAACTAACGGCTCGGTGCGAAACCAACTTCCCCTCCCTGGTTTGTACCCCCTCACAGCCGCCGCTTCTGCGCAACGCCCGCCAAAACAGCATTCCAGTGCGCACGCGCGAACCCCTCCCGCCCCCTTTTCGACTTCAGTGCGCTGGCGTGAAGCGCGCGCACCACTTCAGCCTCTTCCCTCGTCAGATGCAACACGTTAGGGCGCATGCGTGGCTTGTATGTTATGTCTCACCGTATACAGGAAGCAAGTTGGACGGCCAACGTAGATGGCCTTCCCTTCCCCCCCCCTTGTACTCTGGCTGGTGCCTTCACCAGCTGGGGTGGATAAAGTTAGAAGCCCCAAATAGAAATGTTTTAATAGCCGCAACTTAATTCTCGCCTCTGTTAAAATGAATGAAAGAAAACTAACCAACCCGAAAAAAGATTTCCAGCCGTGAAAGCCAATCACAATAGCTTGCGTTCCAAACAGCCCAATCAGAACAAAACTATAGCATTGTGGAGGGTGTCGCCTTGTGAATGGCTGTCTAAGGAGTACAGGGCGGGAAAGTTCGTATAAGTCGAGGATTGACAGAAATTTGACCAATGAAAGCCTAGCGCAGGTAGGGATGACGACTTAAGAAGGGTGCGGTCGTTATGTGATCTTCCAGTAGAAAACAAGCAGCTTGTGCATTGTCCAATGGAAGGTGAGAGTGGCTAAACGAAGGACCAATGGCAGCGGGCGGAAGGTGGGTGTGGATAGTGAGGCGGCGGCGCACTGCTGACTCTGCCCCTTTCCGTCCCGGCTGAGAGAGAGATAGCGTCGTTCGCGCGGAAGCCGGCTAGGCCTTGTTTGCTTGTTGCCGCCAACATGTCGAAGTCTGAGGTAAGAGGCCAACCTAGCTGTCTTCATTTTATTTTATCCTCAAGCTGTGGTTGTTTTTTTTTTTGTGGAATTATGTTTCCTTTGCCTTTAGGGATCGTCCGATTACGGGTGCGATATGTCTCCTCATGAAGTAAGTGTAAATTATACTCATTCCTCCTGCTCACTCGCCCGTAATTAATTTTGGTTTGGTTTGCTTCAGGCTTTTCGTATGACTGGCTTTGGTTTCCTTCCCTCTTAGGCCTGCTGTGCTTTAACTACCACGCATGCGCACTGCTGTCCTGGGGCAGGCGCCATTTTTTACAGTGCGTGGCGTCCGCAGCTGTTCTTCCCCGCTGCTGCTTATTCTTGCGCTGAACAGGAGGGTGGTTTTATGCAGTGCGCCTGCGCGGTCCCTTACGTCATTTTTTTTTAGCTGAGTGGGGGATGGGAAGAGGCGAATGCCATGTGCTCATTCGCTTTGTCCACACACTGGTTTTTCTTATGTCAGTTCTTCCCCCCCCCGCGCGCCTTACTGTATCCCCATTGGCCTTTCTCCTTCACCCATCCATGCTTTCTCTAGCAATTTTTGGGTGTGTGTGGCCGTGAAGATGATGGCTCCGCGCTGGCGCAAGACCCGCGTTGGTTAGTGACGGTTCTCCCAGTTAAATACTCATACACAACTTTCTAGAATGTTTTCGTTTTTGAAAGCAGTGGTGAACGATAGGATATTCTAATGGTTTCAGGCAGCACATTTGTTTTGTCCTGCCTCAAAATTTAAACTTCTGAGCTGCCCTTTACTTTGCACTTCAATACTTTTTTATTGGAATATCTTATAGTGAAGAGGCCTCAAGTGTTATGTGCTGTGTTGCAGTAGCAGTTATGTTAGAAGTGCTGAAATAATTTCTTTTTCAAAGAGTGAGGTGATTCAATTTAGAGTAACATGCTTAACAAAATTGCAAGAAACGCGTTTAAGCACTGGAGTAAAAGTGGTGGTGGTGGTGTATTTTATGTTTCTAATCATACTTAATTCGTGATGGTGCCCAGATCAGACTTTTATTTTGAATTACCTAGGAAGTTGGGAGTTACCTCATTTCTGTTTGTGGTGTTTGGAAGCCTTGCTGTATTCCAACTTAATTACAATTAAGCTGATGGCATTTAAAGTAGATAATAGTAGTTCTGGCCTAGCTAGAGTTTTAGAGGAGTGTGCCTATTCCATAATAGTCAAGGAGGACAACTGTACTCTTCACATGTTGTCGGGCTGCAAGGTAGTACCACGCATTGTGGTAAATGATGAGGTATTGTAAGTGTTAAAGTTCACCAGTATCTAGTTGGTGTAGTTGGAGGGCCTGTCCTGACGCCCTCTGCAAGCAATCTTAGTTCTATTGTCACCTTTTTATCTTTTTCAGTCCCCAAAGGAGCCTGAACAGCTGCGCAAACTGTTTATTGGTGGTCTCAGTTTTGAGACAACAGATGAAAGCCTTCGCAATCATTTTGAGCAGTGGGGCACGCTTACAGACTGTGTGGTAAGTACATGCATAGATTTGGAAACTGATTTTTCGTAGGAAGCAGAGTGCTAATTATTGTTTATAAGGAAACATGCTTATCTCGTGGGACCAGTAAGCAAGAGTAGTCAAAAAGGAGAGAAAGGGCAATTCACTAGTGTGTTGGGTCAGTGTTAGCCATGGATTTGCCCTGATCTAACATAATGTGATACCCTGGATTGAATTATATGATTTTATAGTTACATTTGCAAGTAGTCTTCCCAGCTGCTAATATTTGGGCCATCTAGCACAGGAGTTTGCTCCTCTTACATGAGGAAAAACAGTGGCAGAGAGGAGTGGAGCTGACCTTTTTGGTCTTATTCCCTACACCAGGGGTCCCCAACCTCCGGTCCACTGCCTGGGCTGTGGAGACAGATCTCCCCCCACACACAGCCCCTTCACACGTGACTGCTTGTACGCTTCCCCCCTGAGCGCCCCCCATCCTTCGCACATATGCTCTAGTGGATGTGTGCTTTTGCAAGCGCCACCACTCTCTATGCATGCACGTGGGCACGGGGGGTTCCCTGCCTTCCCCAGCCAGTCCACGGTGTTAAAAAGCTTGGGGACCACTGCCCTACACCACCACTTCAGCACTGATAGCTGTCATCATACAACGCGCAACTAACGTTGGGTTGTTTTTCTAGCAGCCTTATGATGAAGTCTGGAAGACTTGCTGACTTAATGCTTTTTGTTCCAGGTTATGAGAGACCCAAATACCAAACGCTCGAGAGGCTTTGGATTTGTCACCTATTCAACAGTGGAAGAGGTTGATGCTGCCATGAATGCCAGGCCACACAAAGTTGATGGAAGAGTTGTTGAACCAAAGAGAGCTGTGTCTAGAGAAGTAAGAACTGCTGTTACTTGCATGGATAAATGTTTAGGGGAATAGACTCTTGTCTTGTAGACAGCAGTGTGAAACAAAGTAACTTTGCTTTGTATAGAAACATAATTCATTTGCCAGATCAATAATGATCAGGCATTTTTTGCTTGAGGCTACTAAAACAGAATTGGACAGTTGTGTTCAATATTACGTCTTCAATTTATTGGAACAAAACTTGCTAAACAAACATATGATTGTACATCCCCTGTGGATGCGTAAATCAGTAGCCCATAATTTTGAGCTGAAAGATAAGCAAGTCCTAAGACACATCATGAAATTTTTATAAAAAGCTTATTCGGTTGCTATTTTCCAATGTATAATTATGCAGCATTGATGGTTGAAGTAAAGATCAATATATGGGCTCAAAAGCCGTTTTGAAAGTCTGACATAAGACCTTCCCCCTTTTTTGTTATAGGACTCGCAGAGGCCTGGGGCTCACTTGACGGTGAAGAAAATCTTTGTTGGAGGAATTAAAGAAGATACAGAAGAACACCATTTAAGGGACTACTTTGAACAGTATGGAAAAATCGAAGTTATTGAAATAATGACCGACCGGGGTAGTGGCAAGAAGAGGGGGTTTGCCTTTGTTACTTTTGATGATCATGACTCTGTGGACAAAATTGTCAGTAAGTCTGTTCTTCACTGCAGATTCATTTTATGGTTATCCTTTGTTATAATGTATATTTTGTAGTTGTGAAAATTTTCTATATTTTTTATATTTAGTTCAGAAATACCATACTGTGAATGGTCATAACTGTGAAGTCAGAAAGGCTTTATCGAAGCAGGAAATGGCCAGTGCCTCTTCCAGTCAGAGAGGTGAGTTTTCTGTGCTTATATCCAAATAAAATTGTGTTAGTGATATTTTTCAATAGCTCTAATTATTCTTGTTGTTGTTAGGCCGCAGTAGCTCTGGCAGTTTTGGCAGTGGCCGTGGAGGTGGATTTGGCGGTAGTGACAACTTCAGTCGTGGTAGCAACTTCAGTGGCCGTGGTGAGCACTAATGCATGATTTAATTTTAAGTTTTACTGTACTATTTATTTTGATTTTAATATAAGGGCTTAAAGTCATTCTTCTCATTCTTCCTATTGGAGGTTGAGTATCATTGTACTTGTTCTGACTTTGGATTCAGCAGTTTGAAACCATGTTGTGTTCAAACCAATCCCTAAAGTTCCTCATCCAATAAGATCTTATTTGTGTGGTTTTCAGTTCATTTTACTCTGAATGATGAGTTGGGATGGTCTGTACTTTAGTTTTCCATTATATGGTTGAAGTACTGTATTCCAAATTTCTCTATTCTGTGTTTTTTCAAAATCATTTGCTTTAGTACCTTCTCATTCTCTCATTAAGAAGCTTGTACATCCTGTGATAAAACTGCATTCTGAGTGATTTTAGTTTTTTATATTCCTCATCATAAGGAAATTGCTTTAATATGTTTATTCTGATTTTAACTGCATACTTACGATCCTACTTTTCATTTAACCAAATTACAAGGCGCAACACACGTAATGGGTATTCTCTTGATGTCCATGATCATATGGTCATTGCAGTTCTCATGAATTTGGCTATGTATTGCTTTTAATAAGTAAATGCGAAGCGTATGATTTATTTTTCCTGTTGTGCAGTTGCTATAAATCTGGACATTTTCCTTTTTGGATAAAGTTCAATCTCGGCCAAACTGCAGGAATGTTTCTCATTCTGTTGATTGAAACATTTCACTTAAACATTGAAGGTGTTTCATTAGCTTCAGTTCTTTAAGACTGCTAAGTCTAGTTGTTGGAAATCACACAAAGTTGTCTTACTATAAAAAGATAATGGCAGTTTTCTGTCTTAGGTGGGTTTGGCAGTCGTAGTGGTGGTGGTGGCGGCAGCAGCGGTTATGGAAGTAGCGGAGATGGCTATAACGGGTTTGGCAATGATGGTGAGTTTGCATTGGATTCTTTAGGATCCCTCTGTATAAATGACTTTCACTATATGGCCTGGTTTCAACTATTCATATACTTAACAGTGAGGCTTACAGATAAATTCAATAGAATGATGACAACGATGATCGTTAAGGCAACTTCTGACTTACGTTGACCTTATTCAGGATTTTCCAGATAGAGTACTCAGAAGTGGTTTCCCATTCCCTTCTGGGGGCATCCTGGGACTGCAGCTTACCCCACAGGATGGCTGTACTCATAGGAAGCAGAGTGGGCAACCAAACTCCCAACCTTTGGCTCTACAGCCAGAAACCTAACTCACTGAACTACCAGGCCAGCTAATTTGTGTCATACAATAAGGATAAAAACATATATGACTCTGGAATTGAGATAATAGTCTGTATGAGTTACTTCCGTACACCACCCCTTTCCTCAATCTGCTTTCCACCCTGTGCTAATGAACAAATATCCAAACAAACATTTCATACTGTACAAATTTGTGCCATACAGCAATGACAAATGCTTATGTGCTAAGAACACTATGCTATGACATTCAATGTAATTGAATAACCACTATTTAGGTTATGGAGGCAGTGGCCCTGGCTATTCTGGAGGAAGCAGAGGTTATGGCAGCAGTGGCAGCTATGATGGCTATAACAATGGAGGTGGTGGTTTTGGTGGTGGCAGTGGTGGTAAGTATTTTGATGCATCTTCTCTGTTTTGGATTCTGATATCTGAAATCTTCAGGGAATAAATATAAGTATTTTGAAATATTGGACTATAAGTGTCAAGACCTGACTGGGACACTACGTTGGGCTTCAGCAAATACTTGCTGTGATCTTGAAGATCAATATAGACTTAATCTGCAATTTGTAGCTTGGGAATTTGATGCTGGTTGGATTCAAATTTCAGTCAGTCCCAGTCAGCATGGCCAGTGGCCACAAATTATGGAAGTCACAAACCAGTATCAGTAGGAGCAACGGACATGGCTAGGACTGGTGAGTTATAGCCTCACAACAAATGGAGGAGTGCAAGTTGACCATAGGTTCCCACATATGCTGAAGTACTTAGCAGCTTTCCTCAGTCTAATGTTCTCCAGATGTTGTTGGGCTGCAACTCTAGGCAGCTTATGTTGTAAGCCGCCTAGAGTGGTCATAGACCAGATGGGTGGGGTATAAATCAAATAAATAAATAAACTTGAGCGGGCAAATAGTTTGCCTGTTCAGGTTGCAAATAGAGTAAACAAATGAGGCACAAAAAGACGAAGCCTTTCTCTTCAGACGGACTTCCCCTTAGTGATTGGCCATCTTGGAGTGGCTTTTAAATGAAGTAACAAGGCACACTTCATGAGTCACCTTGGGGCCTTTTAAAGGAGAAGGGTGGAGCAAAAATATTTTGAATAAACGCCAGAGGATTGTCATGCCATTCAAAATGTGTATTAGTATGTGTAGATGACATAAGACATGAGTTTTTAATTGTTGATACTTTAAAATGTGACAGACATTGAAAGGAGTTTATTTTGCCAAATACCACATTCCCCCCCCAAATTACATTACTGTTTATTTTTGAAGTACAGTGTCATGAGGGGGATTAATTATGAATATTTTCAGTAGACATGGGATAGTCATATACCTATCCCTAGGTTTAGGGAATACGAATATTAGCACCACAGGTACGTGAGGAAACGGACCCTCCCCTCCAAACCAGCAGGTCCACTTGTTGAGTGTGCAGTTGGCGTTCCCATCGCGCCAATCCAGGAAGCAGGCTGGCCGGCGCTTCCATGCCTCACCACAGAGCTGCCCACTCAACAGTGGTGGAGAGTGGGGAGACCTGTCATCCCACCTCCTCGCCAGAGTGGTTGGCTATGTGGGAGATGCTAGCTGGGCTGTTTCCCAGATTGGCACGATGGGAACAATACTAGATGTGCGTGCCACACGGTAAGTGGACCTGCTGGTTGGACAGGGTCTGATTTTCCCTGGCACCTGCGGTGCTAGTGTTTGCATTAGTATCCCCAGGAATATACGTAAATACGAATCTTGCATGTCTAATACCAACAGCAGCCATATTAGTGATTGCAAGAAATTAGAAACTAAAGTGTAGCGTACATTAACTATTGAGTGGTATAATGGAATCTGGGGAAAATGGCAGCTAATGATAAGTTGACATGGGATATTAAATTTAAAAAGGGATTGCTAAAAGAAAATATGAACTTTCTATTATTGAAAAGTGAAGCCTCTACCCAAGCAAGAGATAATATTTTGGGAGGGTTATGGGGCATCATAATTAAAACTGGTGGAAATATATCTATTGATCCTGGTGACTGGTGCACTAATTTTGGATTTTAAAAGAAATTTGTATTAAGATACAAGATTTTTTCCTTTTTTCTTAAGTTTTTTCATATGTTGTAGTGTATTATAGTAATTTTAATAAAAAATACTTTTTTAAAAATGGTGGCTCTTTGCTCTGTCTAGGGAGTAACTTTGGAGGTGGGGGAAGCTACAATGACTTCGGCAGTTATAATAACCAGTCTTCAAACTTTGGACCCATGAAAGGAGGAAGCTTTGGCAGCAGGAGTTCTGGCCCATATGGTGGAAGTGGTGGTAAGCATCTTTAAATACATTTTGAGGGTTCAGTAGAAGAGTTGAACCCTAGTAATTTCTGGTTTGATCCTCAATGTTAGTCTGGGTAACTTAGTTTGTTTTACTTAACAGTGCTGAAGGGCATTAGGTGCATGTTTGCCACATCCAGCTCTTGAGCATAAAAAAGTGTGTCTGTGTGTATAATTGTCTAGTTTCGTCATTTCAGTAGTGACCTTTTTATCACTAAAAAATAAAACACTTATTTTCAGGTGGCTACGGTGGCTCTGGTAGTGGCAGTAGCTATGGTGGTGGAAGGAGGTTTTAATTCCTAGGTAAGATGTTTCCCTTTAGCCGTGAATAAATATACAGTGCTTTTAGAATTATAGCAGTAATTGTTAATGTAGCTCAGCAAGTCATTGTAGTTAAAGCATACAATGGACTAAATTGCAGATGTTAAAGCTAATGATATGGATTGGCAATTGGTGGGAGCAAACTTACTGTTGGGTTGTAGCTTTGAGTCTCAATGTGTTTAGATTAACAACTTTATTCCATATTATTCAACAGGAAACAAAGCTTTAGCAGGAGAGGAGAGCCAGAGAAGTGACAGGGAAGCTACAGGTTACCACAGTTGTGAACTCAGCCAAACACAGTTGTGGCAGGGTAGAGCTGCCTCATGAAGACATGTGTTAGACAAGCGCTTGTTTGCAAACATCAGGACTGTATTTGTGACTAACTGTATAACAGGATATTTTAGTTTTTGTGTTCTGTGGAAAGTGCAAAGCATTCCAACAAGGGTTTTTATGTAGATTATTTTTTCCACACCCATATTGTTGATTGCTAACTGTAATAGACTGATCATGACGCTGAATAAATGTGTCTCTTTTTTAATGTACTGTGTAAAGTTAGTTTACTGTAAGTTAACATGCACTGGTTTTAGCTGCATGGTTGGCATGCAAACGTAGCTTAAAAGATGCCAATACATTGGGACAAAGGGGCCCTCTGTATACCGGGGTAAAGACATTTCCAGAGACTTAGACATTTTAACCTATTTTGGTGGGGATGGGTGGGATAAAGAGTCATGTGGCACCTTAAAAGAGTAATCAGTTTTGTTTGGTATAAAACTTGCAGACTGCAGTTCATTTCATCAGGTGCGAGTTTTAGTACCTATAGTTTAAAAGGGCTGCTGAGTAAAAAAGCTTATGTCAAATAAAATGGGTTAGTCTTTTAGCTGCCATAAGATTCTTCTCGGATTATACACCAATCAAGATCATCCACACCTGCATAATTGATGCAGCAGTCAGTCCTCAATATTGGGCCTTGAAATGCCTTTTGGGACACTTGGCAAGTAAGCATCTACTGTATTGCTTGCTTGTGTAGACAGCTCTGTTGTGTAAACAACAAAATCCATTGGGGTTTTCTTCCTTTCTTCCCCCCCCCCAAGTGGTACTGATGGCAATCTTACCGATCAGGTTTAAATCCTGGGTTACTAAATTTTTCAGAAATAGTCACCTAATTATCAAATATTATGGTGTTTCAAACAAGGTGGAAGCTAATGCTGGATCCATATGGCTTCATTTCAGTCACATTTCTGCCCTAATAATTGGGGAATAAGCTGATTATGTCACAGCAAACTATATTTTTCTCATCTGCACTTTGCAGAAACCAACATTAATATATTAAAGACATGTGTTGCACAACCTGATTGTTGATGGAGATGGAATTGTGGGCTACAAAAAAAATTGAATCTGATTCTGTGTTGAATGTTTCAGCTACCCACAAGATAGTGGTCAAAAGGTTCAAAAAAGCCATGGATCTGTGGTACAAGACTACACTGTATTCCCTGTTCCAAGGGTTAGTTTAGTCTTTGTACTAGGTAGTAAAATTATGTCACTGGGAAAAACAGAATGAATTTTGTCATTTGATTATTTTAATAAAGTTTACTTTTGTGGCATTGAGGAAATCATAAGTCCATCTAAATCAGTGATTCCCAACCTTGGGTCTTCAGATACTCTTGGATTGCAACTCTTAGAAGCCTTTACCACTAGTTGTGTTGGCCAGGATCTCTGGGAGTTGCAGTCCAAGAACACCTAGGAACTCAAGGTTGGGAACCACTGGTTTTAAACGATACTATTCCTAAATCTTTCTCTCAACAAAGCAGCTTCACCTCTATTTGTGATCTTGCATTTCAAATGCCTAAGTGCATTTTAGAAAAATGTTCATGTTCTGAAGTAAATGTCTGAGGCATACTCTCCTTCAGTACGATTAAACTATACAAAATAAGTTTCCTGGGTGCTGTGTTTCAGCTCTGCTGAATTATTTTCTAGTGCACTTCTGTCTCTGGTGGAATCAGAACTGCACTTAAAACTGAAGGGATGTATCCAGTCTAAAAGAAGACTGGGTGCACTTCGGGTACTTCCATTCTAGTGTTTTGTGAAACAGACCCAATCTGTTCTTGATTTCAAGTTACAATGGTGCATGTAAATAGTATGTTTATCAACATGTTCTTGACTGGTGAATGACTTAATGTAGACTGCAAAGTCAATAGTCCTGATGGGTTTCTACATGGCTGAGTTTGCAGTAGCAGATGGATCCTTATTCTATTGAGGGAGACAAGACCTCAGGATTGACGAAGTAATACTCGTTTTTGGCATGGTAGCATAACCACAACAGAGGAGAGCACGCCAGGACCTGAAAACTAAGTAGCGTTACAAATCCGGGAGGCATGCAGATGGTTGAGCTACTAGGAACGGCTAGCAAGCATAGCTCCGAATGGCTTCCAGCTCAGACGCTACTACAGCTGAGAGTAGACACGTGTGTTGAGTCGAGTGGACAGATAAGCCAGGTGCAGGCTTCTGCTGAATAGAAGGGAGTGCTCAGTGACCATCGGAAGGAGGCAGACGAGAGTAAGGATCCTTGCTCTTAGGACTAGCAGTCAGACGCAGAAGGAAAGAAAGGTTAAATTACTGTACTGGTAGGTAAGAACAGATTTTACTTATGTCCTATACAGTTTTGTTACCTTGCTAAACTTTCTCAAAGGCTGAGTTTACCTTGTAAATGTTAGTTCAGTTATTTTTTAAAAAATTGTCCAGTGCTGTAATGCAAGCATTAGATGGGTAGAACATAATCATTTTGTATGTTTAATAATAATCAGTCACAGCCCTGACAATGCAATGGGTGAAATATTTAATGAAAGCACTTCCTTTCATCTCCCTCTTTGAATGGCCTTGTTGACTTTAAAAAGATTTAGCATAGTATCACAGTGCACTGGCTGTGTTGCAATAAAGGGAGAATACTATTGTGGGGGGTGGGGGACACTTATGTAAAGCAACTGATTAATGAACGTATAACAATAAGTGATATTTAATACTACTTCCTTTTTGTAGGAGAAGAGGAGTGCTTCATTGGTTAAATGCCCCTGCTCCGTGCTTATAGACCAAGATGTCTCTGGAACACCATTTTAAAAGGGTAAAAATGGCCAGTCCTATGATGTTGGGTGGCAGAGGACATAAGACCATCAACCAAATAAATAAGTAAGAAAGTTACGTAAATGGACAAGGAATACTACAAGAATTCACTTGAGAGATCTAGGCTGGAGGCTGATGTTTTTTAATTTAGATTGGCAAAGAATATTAATTCCTTACTAGAAGGAATGGATTTTCAGTGTGGTATCAGAGTAAAACTATACTATAATGTCCCTGTGTCTGATCATAGGCTTCATGGTTTTGTTTTCTTTCTTTGCAGGACTGTTCAGCTTGGTGTATCATAAACCTTCCTCAAAAAAGGTTAAATAGCTACTGGGTAGCTGTATGTGTAAACTATTCATATGAATAGCTTTTATTTATTTATTAAAGGATTTTTATAGCAAAAAGGTTTCCTTTTCAGATTTGTCCATATTTAATACATTTGAAAAGCGTCATGACTTTGGGTTCGCAAACAAGGAACTAATGGTTGGGGATAGCAGTTTTGAACCTACAACTCCGACTCCTTTGTGGAGATGCCTCAAATCACTGAATGATAGGGGATAAAACAGTTGGATTTTAAGGTACAGCCTAGGTTATTTTATTAAAGTCAGGTCTGTATAGCCTTTAAATGTATGTAACAAAACAACTTAGTAAACAGATATTAGTGGTTACTGGACAATTTGGTGAAATGGGTAGTTTAGCCCTTAATAATTCCTTGTCTCTTCTTAAACTGTAGAAGCAGTTAACATACAAAATTATCAGAATATAAGTCCCAAGTACTATTGCTGATAAATTATGGGTTACCATTGAGCAAATTCCTTTTAGCTATGTAACATATAGTTAAAAACATCTCCCGCATACCCAGAAGTAGCCTAACAGCCAATTTCTTTGCTTGTTGGATATCAGCTTCCAGGTGAGCTGATCTTGTCTGCTCTCATGGTTTTAGCTAGGACCTGAATTGCACAGATTTGAAAAGAAAGCTGTTGGGGGTTAAACAACTTATTTAGATAAATGAATGAATTGAACTATAGAAGCTGTATTGGTCAGGAAACCTTTGGGAGAGACAACATAATTGGAGGAAATTAATTTATGGGTAGTGTTTGTCAAATTGCCTTAATGTTAGTTCTTCCTACCTTTGCATTTTCACAAATAAAGCCCTCACTGAGAATGAGAGTTGCGTTAAAACTTCTTGATACAGTGGCAAGTGTGAGTGGAAGATGACTGACACTTTAAAATAGGGATGAAAAAACACGCTTTCAGATGTTTGGGGGCTGCAGTTTCCATAATGCCTCAACAATGGCTATATACTGCAAAGAGGTGATTATGGTGAAGAGTACAGAACTGGAGGGTCAAGTTGCCCACTTCTCATTCAAGCACAGGAATATGTATTCTCCTGTAGGAGGTCTGACAGCATTGCAGGTACCGTATTTTGACTTCAGATGCAGCAGCTCTAAAGGACATCCAAATTATTTTCTAACATGTTGGTTTTACAGTTTTATCCTTCTGAGGTTCCTGTTGGTCACATCTATTAATATCTTCTATCAGTTTAGAGCAGCCATTCTCAATCTTTTTTCTTTTGATCACAGCCGTAAACACAATATGAAGGAAATGCAGGCCAAATCAGGATTGTACAAGACATATAAGATGGCGTGTGAAGAATTATTTCCAATTCCACTCTAGTCTGTGCCCCCACTTCAAATGTGCCAGGGGCCCCCAAGGGGCAATATGGTTCCTGTTAAGAATGGCGTTTTCGAGTAATTATCAGTTATTTATGATCTATTTAAGTATGAATGATCTTATTGACATCTTTATAAATCACCTTAATATGCACAGTTGCATCACTTATTTGCTTCATTTTCATTTTTCTCCTTTCATGATCTGGTTCCTAGTGTAGTGTAGTGGATATAGTGACGGACTAGGATTCAGTAGGCCTGGGTTGAAATCCCCACTCAGCAATGGAAACTCACTGGGGGAGAGGAACTAATAAGACCACGCCCCACTCAGCAATGGAAACTCACTGGGGGGAGGAACTAATAAGACCACTCCTTAAATATTTCACTTACCTTGAAAAATCGTGTAAGGGTCCCTATAATTCCATTCTGACTTGACAGCACATAACATACAGTATCTATTTGAGTGTGATCTTATTGACATCTTTATGAATCACCTCAATAATACATACAGTTGCATCACTTATTTGCTTTGTTCTTGTTCCCCCCCCCTTTAATTTTTGTTACCTTTTTGTTCTCTTGATAGTCTATGTGGTGGGAATCAATGAGTTTGAAATCAGATTAATGTAAGTACAGTAGCAGGAAAAAAATCAGCTGTTACAAGGCATACAAAAAAGCAACACCTAAATTTTAGGGTGGGGGAGGGTTTAATGCTAAGACAAAGTAGCTTGTGTATGGACATGAAATTGTGATAAGAGAACAAAGAGTTCTGTGAAGTAGTGCCATCAATGTATGTACAGCTTGCACCAAGGAGACAGTACACATGAAAATGTTCATAAAATGGCATTAAAATGTAAAAGATAAAATAGATTATATTGTTGACCAAGGGTGCCAAAACTGTAAAATTTATGAAAACTTACTTTGGAGCTGATGTAAACTCAGATCATAACCCTGTCATTGCTGTAGCCTGCTTAATCATTTTTTTAAAGAAATTAAAAAACAAAGTCAAAATGCTAGCATTGATTTAAAAAAATCAGGGAGAAGCCCCTTTGCAGTAGTGCACAGGGATTAAGCCTATGGGAATTAGTGGTTCAAAAACAGAGTAACGGCATACGTTGGCTGGCCTAGGCTGATGAATTCTTCAGCATTCTAATCACCCTGGGCCTAATTGTCCTCTGATACATATAAAAATTGACCTGATATTTTGGCTGTGTGTTATTCAAGATGGGCCCAGACCTGAACATAAATCACACAAGTTCAAGTTGTGAATAAGTTCAGGTATTTGCAGTTTCAAATTGGCTCCATAGGAAGTGTTATGTATCCCTTTTAAAAACTCCAGTTTGGATGGTTGGTACCATTCAGTTCCCACCATGGTTTGTGCAGTTTTCTGTGCAACTGTCTGGCTGTTCATTGCGTGGGACAAGAAAGACACCACCATCAGGAGCGAGTTGCAATGTATACTCCTCTGGAGAGTAGGTGTTGCCAGATTCATCTCTTAACATACAAAAAATTTGATGGTAAAGCACCCCCAACTTCTGCTTGGTGAGTGCCATTGTCCTGTTGAATTCACCACGATCCCGTAATAAGCGCTGCCTTTCCCTGTTCAACTCATCCAGCTCTCGCTCCAGCTGCACAAGTGTCTCTAGTTTACGCTTCCGACAATTTTGGGCTGCTACTTTGTTCTTCCCACGACGGCGGATGTCTCGGATCAGTGCCAGCTGAGGCTCGCTCAGAGGGAAGCGGGACACCAGCTCATTAAAGTCGTCCACTGGCAAGTTGATGATCTTATCGACTGGAAAGGGGATTTTCATAGCTAAGGCTCGACGTTCATCCCGACTGCCAGCCACTTCTCCATGAGGACTCCGTCCCTTCTCCAACGAATGTTCTGGGTATGAACCAGAGAAGGGCATCTCTGGCACTGGTGCCAACATTGGGTAGGTTGATACATGGTCCATGGGGTATAAAGATGTATATTCTGCCCGCTCCAGCCCCTCTGCCTCTAAGGACTCTGCATCACTGTAGTTTAGTGACAATCCAGAGTCTGATTCAAAGTCTTCCTGGGATTTACGAGACCCGTGGGATCCGAAGCCACTTGTAAAATCTTTCTCCAACACCATTCCTTGTCCCTCTTTACACCCACCCAGACTGGCAGGTCCTGGAGGTTCAAGAGAAGATGAGATCAGCATGCCTGTGTAGTTGTAGACGGTGCAATAGCCCGGCAGAGTTTCTGGGTATGGACACTCATATGCTGGAGCAGAATGGTTGAAACCGGAAATTGCATTGTCCCCCATCCCTGTGCATGGTAGATAGCCATGAGGTGGCATTGCCTGTTGTGCATGACCACACACAACAGGATCGTAACAGTTCTCCGTTCGCATGTCAAGACCCTGAAGGGAGAAGAGGGAGAAACTCAGAAGAGGCAGGAGCTCCTTGCGGAGACAGCATAATCTCTAATTGCTAGAGAAGAATGGTGGTTTAGGAAGATGAAGGTTTTATTCAACATATTGGTGCAGAACCTTAAAAAAAATAACTGGGAAATCTCCCTTCTGGGTTCAGGATGTTTCTTGAGCACCATTCTATTACATCTCAGTTGCCTTCCAAATAAAATCATCTTTCTTTTCTGTTTTAACTTATCAAGTTGCAGGGATTCCCTCATTCTATTTCAAGAGGCTTCATTCATGTGGTTCTTCAGATGCTGGACTACAATTCCAACTATGACTAGTAGCTGTAGCTAGCTACCAGTAAGGAGGGGGATGAGAATTGCAGTCCACACATATTGTGGCAAGCCACCTGGGATTCATCTGGTAACTTCTGTTGTCCAACAGAATGTGCTTTGCATTCAGTGATCTACCAGGCATGTAATTCTCACATTATTGAAGGAGAGGCAGCATTTCCAATGTAGTGCTCCTCAATGTCACTCCCTGAACCTCCTTTGCTCCTCCTCCTATGTAACATGGATTTCAGTAGGGCAGGGGTGGAAGGGGAAAGAAAGTGAAGTGCGCAGGTGCCTACCTGGCAGAGAGGGATGTCTTTAAAGTATTCCTTTAAAGAACAAAGGGGTGATTCATCTCATTAGACAGATCCCCCATTGTATACTCCTTCCCCCGCCTCACTTCTCCCCAGGGTCATGTACTGAATGGGGCAGTGTTGGGAGCGTCAAGATTAAAGAAACTGCTGTAAGTAATGGATACACGCCACCCCAAAACTGAGAGTTTAGTCCACACATTACCACAGAAGGTCTAAACCTCCATATGTCTAGCCAGCTGCTTCTCTGGACCACCTTTTGTAGCTCTGCCTGTGCTCCTTTCCCTTCCTCTTAGTATTTCAGGAGTACAATCTTATGTGGAAGGGAAGTCCGGGGAAATAAACAAAATGGAACTCCCAGAACTGTTATCTAAATCCAGCAGGGGGCTTACTTAACACTCAAAAAAAAAAAAAAAAAGGAACCAAAAAGGCAGCATACTGTATAAGCCTTCTACAAGAGCCTGTAAGTCTTTGCAAAGGGGGGTAGGGAATGCAATTTATTTCTGCAACTAAAGCTTGTTAGAGACTTCCCCTTCAAATGTGAACTCAGGTAATGAGTGCTAAGGAAAAAAAACGAGCCAAAGAAGGCAGGCTGGTTGAGAGAGCTCAAGAGTTTAGAGAGCTACAAAATCATGAGGCAAAATTCAGCTCACTGAAGCTGAATCTGTTCAGTAGGCCTTGAATTTTCTCTCTCAGTTGGAAAAGGGGCTGCAACAGGTAGTATGGAATGTCCTCCCCTGCTTTGAGAAAATTGCTCACTGGAATCCAGAACTGAACAACAGAGTGAGGATATTCTGCAATATCCTCACTCTCTGCAAATTTTTGTTGCAGCTCTTACTTGTTCGATCACGTGTTTCATGCTGAGAGGATTATTTATCATCCAGCTCATGAGGACAGATAGTAAGAAATTGCCTTACCTTCATCTCTTTTTTTAAAGGGAAGAAAAATACAACTGTCTGACTCCTGCTCTTATTAATCCACCCCATACATTGTGGGGAGGGACATGCTGGCAATTGGTGGGGTGGAATCCAGCAGAGAGCAAGGTTAGAGTCAACATCACTCCCTTTCACTTTCTGCCAACACAAAAGAGTTTTGGCCACCCACTTTTTAAATCTTGCTGCCTCTCTTCCCATCACTCCTCTCCCATATCTTCCACAACCACCTGTCACAACCCCTTTCCAATAACTGTATCTTGTTTAGACAACTAAGGTGGCCAAGCATCTAACACCACCCACCCCATTATCTCCAGAAAGTTACCTTCTCCCCTGATTCTCCCCTGCCCCCTCCTGTGACATGGCCATCCCAAGGTTTTTACCTGCAGTTCTGAGATTGACAGGATCTCTTGCCAGGTCAGCTCCGCCTCGCCTTGTGAGCCAGACTCCCCTGCAGCCAATGGGTTGTACAAAGGGAGGAAGGTGCTCCGAGGCCATCCTTGCTGGGGTGGGCAGGGGGGCATTTTGTCTGGCCAGATCCTGCCCCACGTCTGCTCCAGCAGGGGCCCCCCCAAATCAGCCGTGGCAGCAAAATTCTGCAATATGAAAACACTTGGATACCACGCTCTTCGAAAATGAATGCATTCTTGTTACAGATATCCCACAGCCTTTTATTGCAGCTTGGCCCTATCAAACTACTGTCCCAGCCTCTCTTCCCACCCCCACCCCTTTTGATTTTCAACCTCCCAGGCTTTCTATTTGGTTTGTACTTCAGAATTAAGCATGAACCCTGTCAGCTGGCTGTTCTGATACGGGTCAGCTCTGGACTCAGTCAGTTGTACTTTGCCCCCAATGAAACCAGTGAGGCAAGTAGGGAGACAAGTAACTTTCAATGGGAGCTAAGTTCAAGTAACATCAGTCTGGAGCCAACGCATAATATTTATGTGGCATGCCCTTTATTTATTTTCTGTACTCTTTATCTTGTCCCTGTGGCCTGGCAGATCCTCAAGGCACCTGGCAAGGAAGATGATCTAGTAACCTTCAGTGTTTAAATCAATCACAGTATTTACCATAAAGCAACTCAAAAAATCAATAACAGATTTTGAAAAATTGCACATACGTACAAATAAAGGCTGCACAGATGTATGAAGAATGACTTGGAATTATGTCCCGCCATTCAGTGGCTCATCTCTAGCCAAAAGCACCTTTAGTAATACAAGGCAGCTCTGTTGATGTGTCCTGATTTTCCCCTCCCAGTTTATGCTCTCCTCCCCCATGCTGTTTCAGAGGGTCCAGTGCCTATGGGGGCAGGGTATAAATCGAATGACTAAATACATAAATAATAAAATATTATAGGGACAACACAGTGCTGCTGTAAATGAAGGGGATCAGATCCCTGTTGTCTGAGCAGAGCACGGCTCATCTGTCTGCATCCAACTCAGTTTGCAGCCCAACACAGGGCTGCTAAAGTACTAAACGCTGTACTAAATGAGATATACAAGAGATGTCTGTAACAGACTTCTTAAGAAGAATTGACTGCTAGTGGCCTCTCTCCTGTAATACACAAGCAATGCGAGTAGGGCTGTTGGGCAGATTAGACCCAGGCCCAGCAGTGCCCCTGCAGGGGGTGAATGTTGGATGTTCTAGCTGGGGAACATGGGTTGCCCTGGGGTAAATGGAGGGAAAGGGAAAGATTCCCCTTGACATTTAGTCCAGTCATGTTCGACTCTAGGGCGTGGTGCTCATCCCCATTTCCAAGCCACAGAGCCAGCGTTTGTCCAAAGACAGTTTCTGTGGTCACATGGCCAGCGCGACTAGACACAGAACGCCGTTACCTTCCCACCGAGAAGGTACCTATTTATCTACTCGTATTAGCATGCTTTTGAATTGATAGGTTGGCAGGAGCTGGGACAAGCGACGGGAGCTCACTCCATCGCATGGATTCGATCTTACAACTGCTGTCTTCTGACCTTGCAGCACAGAGGTTTCTGCCATTTAACCGACAGCGCCACTACGTCCCTATCAAACGGAGGTACCGGACCAGTTTTCAGGCATTCAACAAGTTGCCAAAAATCAAGCTGCAACACTAAACGGTAGCCATTGAGCTTTTTCCCCATTTGATTTCCGGGCATCTCCTTTTTGATCCTCCTTTTCGACCCTCCTTTTCTCAGTTCTGCTTTGGTATAGGTGGGACTGCCCATCTGGTCCTTGATAAGCACCTCCTGTCCTTCCCCATTACCTCAGAGCTGGCTTTGTGAATCTGCAGCGTGCAGCTGCCTGGATCAGACATTCATGAAGTCGGGAGGGTGCCCACTCCGTTCCTGCAAGAGAAAGATAACCGTCCTCTTATCAGCCACAGTCTTTTTGTTTTTGTTGGCAACTTCAGGGCGAGGAGCTTTGTCTCCACAGCTACTCCCACTGGTAGGCATCATGAGAGGCTGAACAGCCCATCTGCCTAATGTATATGAACAGTGGAGAAGAGAATTTGGAAAGAGAGGATTGGAAGAGCAGTAAAATGGGATACAATCAGATGGTTACTTCTAGAACAAGGATCAGTCCAGTGAGGAAGGCTCCAAAATGGCCCTTTACACATTTCAGGCCAGAAGATCATTTAGCTCAGCTGGCACAGCCAGAATGATGGGATTTGTTGTCCAACAATCATCATCTCCCTGACTACATGTATATATGCCTGTGGCCTCTTTGTCCCAGACTGGACCCTGGAGTTGATCGTTTCACATGAGAAGAACCTTTATGCACGAGTAGACCTCGGCATATTTCAAGAGATGTGTGTGTTGTGCCTTTAAGAACAAAATCTTAAGGATTGTGTATAAGGATATTCCCACTTTTATCCCCCAAACAGCCAGTGTTTCTACACACATTTCTAAGTTTGCATAGTTGGTTTCCTCTGTTAATCACGAGGAGAGAAAGGATCCAAGGCTAGAGCTAGAAAGGTGCCAAAGACAGAAAAATGTCTTTGGCTGCCCCTTGATGTGCCTCAGGGTGGAAGGGCACCATTTTCAGTTCTAGTGCCTTCACTAGATAGGTGACACTGCTGAAAGGCATCTGTTTTATTTTGGGGGGGGGAGGCAGCCATTGTCCTTAGCTGCCTGAAGAATAATTCATTCAGAAATGGATAAAATGACAAACCAGATTCTGGGCCTAGTGTCCTGTGATTCTGGAGAAGCAAGTTTCTAGTTCTCATTGTTGCAAAAGTGTGCTTATAACTGGGTGGGCATGGCCTGATGAAATTTCAGAAGGCTGAGGAGTTGTTGAATAAGATTTCCTGTGGTTAAGGGTGGAGAATGTACCATTCCCCTTGATTAGCAAAGGCAGAATAAATTATGCAATAACAGAACAATAGTGCAGATCTGTTGAACTGATATTGCCTGTGCTCCTCTCACAAGTTAGGGTGGCCAGCTATTTCTGCATTGCCAAAATCAGGTCAAGAGAGGTGACAGGTTTGCATAAAATGTACATGTGTTAATTTAAAGGTATAGACACAAATGCAGAAGTTGCTACTAACAAACATACACTTCAGGACAAAAATGGATTAGATACAGATGAAGGAGGAGTAAAATAGGTGGAACAAACATCAACATTTTTTTCTGTGCAGATTACACCTTGTTACTGGCAGAAGGTGGCAATGACTTTAGGTGTCTACAAAACAGGTTTAAAAAGTGCCAAAGAAGGATTATAGTTGAATGTTGAGACGTCATGAATAAAAATCATGACTACAAAAGAATTATATAATGCTAATGTTGACAGCTGGCGGGCTGGAAAGCTCAGTGAGTTAGGTATCTGGCTGCAGAGCCAGATGTTTAATTCCCCCATATGCCTCCAGTGAAAAGAGCCAGCCTGTGTGGCCTTGGGCAAGCTGCACAGTCCATGGGCACCCCCAGAAGAAGGGAAGGGTACACCACTTCTGAGTACTATCTTCCTAGAAAACCCTGGAAAGGGTTGCTTTAAGTCTGAATTGACTTGATGGCAAACAATTGTTTGTTATTTATTATTATATTATGTTGCCAATTAAGGAATCAAAATAAGTTCAGTCATCAGTTTGAATGAAAGCTATTGCCACGAAGACAGCTGAGACTCAGAAAGGCAGCTACGTAAGAACCAGAAAAGATCTTCAGGATTCTTATACCCAGTGTAAGGATGTGTCATCTGAGACAAAGACCAAAATCACTCATAGTATTTCTAATTGTTATACATGGGTATGAGAACTGGAAAGCGAAGAAAGCTGCCAGGGAGGTGGGGAAATCAATCCATTCAAAAGGTGGTGTTACAACTTGGGCGTATCACGTGAAAACAAAACTCCCTGGAAAAGACAATAATGCTGAGAAAAGTTGAAAGCAAGAGGGAAAGAGAAAGATTGAACATGAGATAGATTGGATTAATAAAGCTATTGCCTTTAGTTTGCACTGCTTTTAATGATAGGAGTTTTTGTAAGTCACCAATTCAAACTGTCACCATAACTCGAAAGTGCCGACACAGGATGTAAGAACAACACAGTGCAGATCCACAGAGCTATCCTTGATCATTAAAGCAGCATATCCAGAGAGTTCTCTAATTTCTGGAAATGGGAGGGATGTTTTAGTTTAGTTGTATAAACTGCTCCAGCCACACTGCCTAGGTGTTGGTGCAGAAAGTTGACTCAACACCAGGTCAGTCACCATCACTGGGCAAAGTGGAAGGCAGATACCATAAAGGGGCAGCCAACTGATGATTATCTGATTTATCATTTTGTATTTTTACTCCCAAGGAGGGGGAAAGACGCACGATTTTTCTGCCAAAATAATTTGGCTTGGTTTGAGTACCTTGAGTTGTCAGGGATTGGAGATATCTGCAATTTCTATGTTCTTAGTGTGTGGTATAGGACATTGCAATATGCTCATAAAGCTGGTGTTCCCATCAGACGCTGCATAGGAGCTGAGCTTGGAAGAGTTACAAGCACCTGGAATCTGGGCATTGCACTTTTAAAAGCATTCCACACACACCCCCAGCTAATTTCTGTGTGGGAGACCCTCGAGCAAGATCTTCTACAACAGTGGTCCTCAACCTTGGGCCTCCAGATGTTCTTGGACTACAACTCCCAGAAGTCTTCACCACCACCTCTGCTGGCCAGGATTTCTGTCAAACAACATCTGGAGGCCCAAGGTTGGGGACCATTGTTCTACAACATTGGTCCAGAACCTTTGGTCCTCCATATATTTTAGGTTGTAATTTGCTCCCTTTTGGCCATACTGGGTGGCGCTGGTGGGAACTGTAGGCCAAAACCTCTAGAAGATCAAAGGTTCTCCATCCTGTTCTACAGTTATGATTTTGTTAAAACAAGAAACATCAGAGGAGGGGAGACTACATCAGTGGGCTTTAGCCATTCCCTATACCGTCACCTGATTAGTATACTCCCAGTATACTCCCTGATTACGATACTACTTGCCCAACGGCATGAAACATACAGGTGTCATACAGGTGATAATGGAAGTAGGACCATCATAAGTCTTCAAAGTTCTCCGGTTTCAGTTTTATGAATTAGATCCTGAACCTCCTCCTCTGTTCTCTTAGTGGAAAGAGAAATCAAGTTGCAGCATCACCCTTTTCATTCATGGAAAATATTTGAGAACTGGAGGGCCTGTGAGCAGAACTGTACAATTTGGGGGTCAGACCTAAACTGTAGGACTAGTATGGCTTGTGTACTCACTGCCCTGCCACAGTACCTGCTCTATCAACCAATTTGTAAAGAGAGCATTGCAAAAATATAAGGCATACTCTGTGTGTTCACCTATGAGGGAACTTGTCCCAGCAGGCCGACATGTCTTGCAGATCTGAAGAGGATATCTGTCCATGTGCAAAATATTAACATCTCTACATGTCAGCAGCTTATGTGAGAAGCAGGGACCTGCTGCAATGAAGAGAAGCAGTAAATGCAGTACAACCCCTATAGATATATGTACCCCAGAGCCTGCATGAATTCACACAAAACAAGATATGTCTATGCAGTCAGTCATGCCAACCTTGTGCTCTGCCTTCTCCAAAAGAAAAGTGGAAGAAAAGTAAAGCTGACTCAACTCACCTGAAAGAAACAAATCTCAAACAGATTTAAATGGAAAGCAATGCCTACCTCAAACTAAATGTGGAAATCCTAATTTTTGTATATCCTCCACCCCCAAAATAGGGTTTGGAAAAAAAGACATGGAAGGACTGGATTTTTCCAAGCAATTAAAAAAAGAAAGCTTGTTTTTAACCAAGTAGGAAAACTGTTGCATTGGGCCTTACTCCTTGGTAAATAGCCATCAAACTGAACTGTGTTTCATATACTGTACCTAGTAGGAAAATGTCTGAACTAGTAAAGAGCCCTCCAAGCTACATCCCCTAAGATTTCCTCATCCTCCTGCCTTGATTCATATGAAGCACAAAGGGGAAATAATATAAAATAAGACAAAAATGCCATGACACCTAAAGGACTAACTGTTATATTTTAATGTGAGTTTTTGTGGGCAAGTCCACTTCTCACTAATCAACACACACTAATCAAGAGAATTTCTCTCCCAAATCCTTATCATTCTTATGAAGCAACCATCTTGAGTGATGATTTTTCCACTTTAGCTTTAATCTCCTATCCCACTCCTACTCTAGTTTTTAATCCTCCTGCCCTTCACATCACATCCCCTACTCCAAAGCTCTGAATTCAGTACCAAGAAATGATGTGAAATGCTCACTCACTGGGCAGAGAATGAGCAGCTTCAGAGAAGGCATTTCTGCAGAGAGCTTGTTTCTCAGTTGCCTGCTAAGAACACACGGCTCCAGCTTGGAATACAATTGAAGAGTCAAAGTGCTTTCAGTACCATCCCTGGGCCAGCTGTAGCATTGGTTCTGCTCTCTGTCTTGACTACCCCAATATGCTGCCCTGCAGAGATTTTCAGCTCTAACCCCCAACATTGTTCACCATCTGCCATGCTACCTGGAGCTGATGGACACCATAATGCCAAACAACTGGAGGGCACCATATTGGGGCCATGCTGATGAATCACAATTAACTTTTGCTTGATTGTGCTCCTTATTTTAAAAACAACAACTATTACCTAACCTGGAATTTTGCAGAGTTAAAATCTATTTGTGTTTCTACATGGTGCTGGGAGGGGAAGAATATGCCAGGGAAGATAACACCCATCCTTTAACTCTGTTGCTAGTTCCTCTTCTTCCAGGAATGCCAAGTTGTCCCCATCATCAGTATGGACACATTGGGAACAGAAACGTCTGTGGGGATGATGTGCTTTGCTCAGCATTGCTTGTGTGTTTTCTGGACTGAAGAAAGCACATA